ATGTAACGCTCCACGCGTTGTGATCTCAATGCGTTGTGCCAGCAACATTGAGCAAACTTGTTTTGGCGCTTTCGTGACTGCAGGAATTACTCTTTGGTTCTTTCGGTGAAGTCACTTAAAAAGATAAAATAATAAGTTATACTTTAAATGATTATTTTCTCTAAATTATTATTTTCTCTTTCTACGTGACTTTATTGATGGTGCGAGACGCCCTTTTTGGGGGTGGCGAGAGATCGCCGGACCATCGAAAACACAAATTAAGCACGGACACGTTAAGTACAAACTTACTTTGTTTCATCAAACCCGATGTACTGTATATTATTAACGTGATACATTTTTTATAATTATTCAAAAATTCTAGATTTGAAGCTTTCGTGACTGCAAGGATTCATACTCTTAGTTCTTTCGGTAAAGTCACGTAGGTAAAAAATGAAATAAAAATTAATAAAAAAATAAAATAATATAATATAAAATCATTTTAATTTCATTTTTTACCTACGTGACTTTACCGAAAGAACTCAGCGTATGATTGAAAAAACCAAATGGATGCAAGCTTGCAATTTGAGTTGATTTTATTGTCTGCTTCATGATTGCGAAAATGTTTCTCTCTTACTCAACAGCTACTATTACGTAACTGTGCCTAAAACAAACTACTTCATAAAAACATTACATTTAATTAGCATCAGGACCTATGATGTAAACAAGTACAGTCTCCAACTATTCTCATCCACCCGGCCTCGCTGTAAAGCCTTTCTCGTTATGTGTTTTAAGAAGGCCCATTGCCCGAAACGTCATTTATATACAAAAAAAAGTATGCCACAGTAAGCATGTGTGTATGTTGCACCGTGCGTATCCAACCCCCGTGACTTTACCGAAAGAACCAAGAATATGAATTCCTGCAGTCACGAAAGTTTTAAGCCAAAAATCCCAACAAAGCCCCTTCCCGTCTCTCTGCCTCCCCCTCTCTCGCCGATTGCACGGCGGAGCGAGGAGGGTGACTGGGGTGGGTTGGTGAGTTCATCACCGGGCAACTGAAGAAGATTAGATCCGTACCGCGACGCAAGGGATTTACAGGGCTCAAGAGACAGAACCGTGGCTTTGTCCTCTGTACCTGCATGCCAGCCGCTATCGCACCGTCGGTGTACAGACAAAGGTCCACCGTATAGTTTGTATATATAACACTATAACACTGTTTGGCCTGAGGCATACGAAGACAAAGATCCCCCCCGTACCCGTGTAAGCACTGTAACAGACTGTAGGGGCAAGTGCTGTTAGCAGTAGCACCTATGAAGGCCGGAACGGCAACACGATGGGGTGGGTGGCCAAACACCACGCCCGGCCTGCCTTTGTCTCCCCAGTGGCGATGTTTACACACCGCAACAGGTGCTCATTTGAGGCTGAGTAGACCTAGGGGAGGCCCAGTACCGGTTCAGATAATCGTCACTAATGCTGGTGGCCATGAGCGGGAATCGAAACTCAGGTCGTTGGGTTCGTAACGCAGCGCGCTAACCGCTACACCACACTACACCCTTTAAACACACACGAAGATAAATACACACACAAAGATACAGACAAAGATCCCCCGTATAGCTTTGTATATACATTGTTATTGAGGTTAGAGCTGTTGGCATACACACACACATCGATAAACACACACACACAAAGATACAGACAAAGATCCCCCTCATAGCCTTAAACAGAATGTTGGGGCAAGTGCTGTTAGCGAGTACCTATGATGAGGTGGGGGGCCAGAACCACGCCCGGCCGCCTTTGTCTCCCTCGTAGGCGATGTTTTACACATCTCACCAGGTACTAATTTTAGGCTGAGTCGACCTAGCGGAAGGCCCACGACGGATTCAATTAATCATCACCGGTGTTGGCCGTGAGCGGGTTCGTAGCGCAGCGCGCTAAGCAGCTACACTACCGCTACACGCACACACGCACACACACACGCACAATCGCATACTTGTAACATGACGCGCGTCCTCATTACCATTACAAATCCTCAATGAAGGAGCGTTAAAGTGCGTTCCACCGATCGAGTCATTCAACGGCGAACACGCGGAAGAGTGAGTCAACGCCACCGAAGACAACAAAGATCTCCCCCACTACCCCTTGCAGCCTTCCGTGGACTTCTGAAGAGCAGGTTGCTGCTGGCAGGCTCAGAACTCACTCGCATCGAGGGGAGATTCCGCAGGAAAATCGTCCCACAAATAACCACGGCTACTCACCAATTCCCACGACAATTATATAATGAAAGACTTGTTTACATTTCAAAGTTTCAAATTTTAAAGTTCATTTATTAGGTATAGCCCTGTGAGCCATTCGGCTCTTGAATCGGGTGCAACCGCAACAAACAAAAAACAAAAACATGAACAAGAAAACATCTTAAAGTTACTACGTGCAAACAGAAAATCCAAGAAAAGACAGCAAAATATTGCAGAAAAAATCACCGTACAGCAACCCTGTGCAAATATCCCAGTGGGATGCAAGTCAAACAACAACAACCACAAGACAACTTAGATTAAGGCCATCAGTCTAACTCTGTACTACAACAAACAAACATGGCCAAACCAAAAAACTTTTCGAAAATCACCAAAATAAAGCCATAAAAGCAATGAAACAGTGCAGGTCATAGGAACTGTGCTTTACACTCCTATCGTGTGTTTTGTAACTGTGTTTGCTGTTTGAACGTTCTTACCCCGTGCCCCGACTGGACATCTGTGCTAAAAGAGCTTCATAGCTCATCGGATTACTCCTGCAGTATAAACACAAGATTCTAATTCTGCTCGTGCTGGCCGCGTACGGAATTGAATCCAGCGCACACGCGGGGAGAGTGAGAAATCGGCACCCGCCCTACCCCCGCAAGCCCCCATTGCGATTGAAGGAAGGGTCGCGTACATGGCAGAGTCACCGGGGTCATAGGGGATGGACCTATGAAGCTCGCTCGCAGTCAAGTAGCCTGTGGATGCTCCCGCCGATCTGAATCTGTAAGTGCGGCGAGAATCCATGCAAGCGAAGAGCAAAGTAGCACACGGGATGTGGTGATGCCGTTGCTGCGTACGCAGTGGTGCACAAAAACAAAGAACAACAACCTGGATCGTCCATAGGGGGGTGCGAGGCAAAATCACATTTTGTGTGCCCCCCCCCCCAAAGCGCGGGGCCCGGGGCAGTCGCCCCGATTCGCCGTTCTCCTCGGGACGGCTCTGATACAACACAGCTCAATACGCCCCGTGTCAACAACAACACTGTGCCGCCTGGATGGCCTGAAGAGAGAAAAAAACAATAACGGGCGGCGTTTCGGCCAATGGCTCTTCTTCATTGCACATACTAAATTTCGGGAAAAGATGTACGTGCTATTAAGAAGAAGGGCTATTGCCAGAGACGTCGCCTATTATGTTCATTTTCTCCCTTTCAAGGCCACGGTGTTATTAACGAATTTGTTGGGGTGCATCAGGAGGGGGGTATCAGATAAATATAGCGCAGGCCAGAAAAACCACGAGTTTAAAAAAAAAACTACCACACGCAGACATCACATGCACACCGAGGCAATCCACCTCTTGCGCGTTATGCAAAAACAACAACCCATCGGCAGTTCCTGAAAACCCGCTTTGCGGTCCTCCTTGTCTTGAGTCAGCATCAAAATAAGTTTGAGCCGAAGTGAAGCCGACGATAAGGCAGCATGCGGACAGAAAAAAGTGGGTCAGAATTGCTCACATTGATAATGATGGCGACTTAAGACGTGAAGACCACGATCCAATTCTTCAGGAACTGTTGGTGGGTTTTTTTTGCACTTAACACAACTGGTTTTATTGCTTGAAAGGGTCAAACCTATTCTGATATTTGTTCATACCAGTTACATTAACAAATACGATGATCAGGTATAGTGTCTTCTTCCAATACTCCTCATCACGTGAACAACAAAAAAAATCTTTACGCATCCCATCAGCCAGACGGCCGCATGGGAGTGCATATATTTCAGCAGCATTGAACCGATACATCGATTCCACTCGGATAATCTATTCGCCTCCAAAGCAACCGAAGCGTTGAGTGTAATTGGGCATCAAACTCAGACCCACGTCCAACAGAGGAGGGTCCTTTACCCATAACATCTGGCAGCTCACCAGCACCGATTCAGAGGACCTTAGAATCAGAATTTGTATTTGTACTGGAGGAATCCGATGTTGGGACACTGAATGTTGAAGCTAGTCCCGAGTTTGCTCCGATCGAACCAATGCTGTTAAAATCATTCACTCCCGTGTAGCTGATGGAATGTGTAAAATAATAAAATAATAAATGTGTATACAGTAGTCAGTATTTTGTTTTTACCTGAAGGGACAGGTAGATGTGGGAAGGCGGCCTATAAATAAATGGCTGTTTACGTTATTCAAAAATTACACATTCGTCAATAACACCGTGGCCTTAAAAAGGAAGCGACGTTTCGGGTAATGGTCCTTCTGCATAGCCCATACAGGTAGAGTGTGAAGAAGGGCTATTGCCCGAAACGTCGCCTATCGTCCATAGTTACCTTTCAAGGCCACCACACAGACACAAAAATCCCCCGTATAGCCTTAACAGACTGTTGGGGTAAGTGCTGTTAGCGAGTAGCACCTACGAAGACCGGCATGGCCGCCTTTGTCTCCCCAGTGGCGAAGTTCACAACACCGCACCGGCTACTCATTTGAGGCCGAGTCGACCTAGAGGGAGGCCAAGCACCGGTTCAAGATAACTGCCACCATAGGTGTGTTGGTAGCCGTGAGCGGGAATCGAACCCAGGCCCGCCAGGATGAGCAGCGCAACGTGGCGCTAACCGCTGCACCACCGCTCCCCACCAAGGCGACACCGCCAATGTTATATTCAATCGGGTGGGGGGGGGGGTGCAATGAGAATGCCCGAGAACCGGAAGAGCCATATAAGGAGTTTGTCACTCCCCGCGTGACGTCCGCGCCCGAGTCTATATATAGACCCTGGGGCCGCTCTGTGTTCAGACGGCGCAGAGCGTGATCATCATCATCGGCATCGCCGCAGCGCGCTCGGATGGGTTCAATTAACATCGACCAATCCTGCGACTGTTAATTCGTCGCGAAGAGGGCCAATTGGATCATCGGCCCCGCTTATAGCAACAATTAACGTTTGATTGACGCGAGCGCGCGTGCGTGTGTGTGTATATATTTAACAAATATATAAACGCGCGCGCGTGTCGTTCGATAGGGGTTTTGAACGACGTTAGCGGTGTCCACAACACCAACAGTGAGGCTACCGAGGAGATTTCGTCATCGGCGGCGGTATTTTAAATCGATCGATCGATCGGTCGTCGGTTCGTCATTGGGACCTCCGGAGAGATGACGCGACATCAGAAGCCGTCGCTTGTCGCTCCCGGCATCGTTGAAATTAAGAGCCAGGTAAGGATTTTGTGGGGTGGGGTTTGGTGGGGGGGTGTTTGGTGGTGGGGGGGGGTGTTTGGTGGGGGGGGGGATTTCGCTCAAATGTGTGCGTATCGCGTGCGGTTACGACCAAATTTTAAGCGACGCCAATTTTCTATTTGTAAATCAGATCAGCGTAAAGCGCGTTACTCCTCTGCATAGCCGCACACACACAGGACAGAGACCCCCCCCCCCACACCCTCCCACACCCGTGTAGCCTGTCACAGACTGATGGGGCAAGTGCTGTTAGCGAGCACCTATTAAGGCCAGGGTGGGTGGCCAGCGCCACGCCCGGCCGCCTTTGTCTCCTGAGTTGCGATGGGGTTTTTTTTTTAACACCGCACCAGGTTACTCATTTGGGGCTGAGTCGACCTAGGGAAAACCCCGGGGACCGGTTCAGATAAAACGTCACCGGCGTATTGGTGGCCGTGAGCGGGAGTCGAACTCGGGACCGCTGGGTTCGTAGCATTATTACATTGACACCTTCATACGCTCTTTGTTTACAAAGATAATTTCATTGCATCGATATTTGACCATACTTCACCACTCTAGTCAATGCAAGATCGCACCTCCGATTAGCACGGTTCGCTACGTACGGTGCGAAAGAAGTTCAACATACAAGATGCGTGTATAGATACGAGCACGTACAGTACGTGCGTATACATATACACAAGAAAGACAAAGTTCCCACGCCGCGCGTGTAGCCTGCGCAGGCTGCTGGGGCAAGTGCATGGTGATAACTTATTCAGATCGGTACGACGCGCAAAGGTGTCATTACCGATCCCATCTTTCCATAATTTTTTCGGGACGAAATCTTTTCCTGCCCGGCCACGGCTAACATCAGTGGCGAGTGATAATCCGAACCCGTTCCCGGGCCGCCAGCCCTTCAACAACCCGTACTGACCGGCGTGGTGAAGAATGGTCAAACAGGCACCGTGACCAGCACGGCACGGGGAGAGAGACCTTCATCCAGCTGTGGTTTAGATGGGCTTGGCTCCCCGTCGTAGGAATGTGGAATTTCCACTGAAATGCTTCTTTTAAGCCAGAATTACCTTCGGTTGTTGTTTTTTTAACTATGCATTGGGTTGTGTGGCCCATGCAGCCACGAGAGATCGCTATATTAGCCGCAACGTAGATTTGAATCTAAACGCCGAATCGTTTGACATCCAATGTAAAACAGGTCAAGGCACAGCCCTGAAATTGCTCACTCGCGCCACTGCTGATGGAAGGGGCCTCCACTTGAGGGATCTCTAGAAAGGGTCTTTAGTCTACTCTTCCACGTCTATCCATCTGAACATACATATGTCCATCTATCAGTTCATCCGTCCATCTGACCATCCACTTGTCCACCCATCCACTTGTCCACCCATCCACTCCTGCATTCATCTCCTTGTCCATCCATCCGACCACCCATCCACGTGCCTACCCATCCACTTGTCCACCCATCCACTTGTCCACCTATCCACTCCTGCATACATCCACTTGTCCACCGATCCAATTTGTCTCGCCCTTCCGCCTGACCCGTCCGTCTCTGCGCCCCGTCCACCAGTTTGGCGCGGAGTTCCGGCGCGTGTCGATCGCCCGGTGTCCACCCCCGCGTTTGGAGGAGTTCCGGGCCCTGCTGCTGAGGCTGCACGGCCTGGCAGGGATGGTGGGAGGAGCGAGCGCAGGAGGCAGCAAGAAGACAGCAGCAGGAGCAGCAGGAGGAGGAGGAAGACGAGGACGAGGAGGTGGAGGGGAACTGGTCGTGTGCTACACGGTGTCCGACGGGAGTCTGCTGCCCATCACGAACAGCCACAACTTCGCCAAGGCCATAGCGGGGGCGGCACCGCTCCTGCGAATCACCGTCACCATCGCAGGTGAGCGGCTGCGGTGGGTTGACCATGCCGCAGGTGCAGGGGCCGTTGTTAACTACCTCGCGGGCTGCTATGCAGGAGGTCGTGGGTGGGTTTGCTTCCGACCCTGACGACACCTGCTGTATATTTGGAGTTTGGGTGTCTCTCTCCACGTGGTCGCGTGGATTTTTCTCCGCGTCCTCCGGTTTTTCCTCCACATTTAGAATCAACATCACGCGTTTGGAGTATTTGGCTGCGATACATGATGCGTGCTGCTCAGCACCACGAGGGCGCTGCAGTGGCTAGGAGATGTTAACTACCTCGCCCGGTATACAGGAGGTCATAGGTTCGATCCCGAACCCTCACGCCTGCTGCATATTTGGAGTTTGGGTGTCTCTCTCCACGTGGTCACATGGATTTTTCTCCGGGTCTTTCCGTTTTTCCCTCCACAATTAGAATCAACAATGTGCGTTTAGAGTGTTTGGCTGCTGTACATTTCCACGCGATAAGCCACTTCGTTGAGCTATCATTTGTGATGAGCCAGGTCGCATCTGAAAAAGAGCTATTTTAGCTCAGTGGGCCTTACCTGGTAAAATATAAATAGTTATCGTTAGTTGGACTGATGGGAATATTTATTTGTCAACGTCACGTGGAACACGTGCACACGCACAAAACACGTGTACACACGCACAGAACGCGTGTACACACGTGCACCCGAGATCTCAATCTCAATTTGAAACCGGCTCTGTTAACACGGACAGCGTGAATTGTTTAGCGCGTCGGGTGTGGGACGCGTTTAGCCACGATCGGGCGCGCGCAGCATGGAACGAGGCAACTTGTTTTCGAAAGGTGGAGGAGCGATTTGGTGAACGCAGAACGACGGCGCGTTGGCGGAGGGGAGTGCGGGAAACCCGTGAGCGAGACGCGTTCAGTCGAAAAATCTCTCTGTGGACGTTCAAGATGGAAACGTTCCCCCGCCGATGGGACCGGAGGAGCTCAAGCATTCGGCCCCCGCCCCCCCCCCCTTTTTTTGTGGGAGATTACAGTCATCATCGTTGCGGTGGTAATGACGCCACCGCAATCGCGGGGTTTTAATATTTCGTTTTGTCTTTATTTCGGGGCCCTCGCCGCTGCTATTTTTAAACCTTCGGCACCAAAAACAGACTCTGGTTTTTATTTCTGGAAATTACGCCAGCCGGCAAAATTTGCCAGGTCCGATTAACCAGGCATCCGGTAGTCAATCCACTGCTGGATGAGGGCCCCCCTCCCTCCCCCACGCCACGCGGATCAGTTTGGATCGGTGCGGGGTCTGCGCCGGATGGGGAGCATGGAAGCACGGTACAGTGGTGGACTTTTGACGTTGGCCTCACCGCCCTCTGCCGCCCCGCGGCCGCCTACGGCAACCTGGCGCGCAATTGCCTTGCGAATTAGCCGGGCGGCAGTGGTGGCGGTGGTGGTGGCGGTGGCTACGCTGCTGCTGCACGTGGCTGCCTGTAGTCCCAAGCCACTTGTTAGGAGGCTTTTTAGAACTTTTGGCAAATTTGGCAAATATGGGCCCGAGATGCCGTCACACGATGGCCTGCACTTGTGAATGACGTCGGTGGGGGTGGTGGAGGGTGGCGGAATCTTCAACGTCCGACGCGAGTGAAGCAGACGGCGCCGTGGGAGTATCACTTCCAATTGTCCACGCGCTACCGCCGCAGTAATAACCAGGGCGGCCGCCGGGTGTCGAACCGTGAACTTCTGCAGCAAGTGGGGAACGCGCCGCCGCTGGGCCGCGTCAAATGTCGGGAGGTCGGCTTCGGTGTAAATAGCGGAGCGACAGCCATCATCATCATCATCATCGTCGTCGTAGCTTTTATCATAATCGTAATGATTATCATCATCGTCCTCGCAGTAATTTTCATCAACATCACCGGCATCGGTGGTGCTGGTTGGGGGGGGGGGGGGGGATTGTTCCACCCCTCTTCAACAGAACGGGGATGCTTGCCAAACCGAACATAATGACAACACGAAAGCATCGCTGCACGGTGGCGTCATGGAGAATTTTTATAACCTGGTGGGTGTAGGGCCTCCTCCCCCATACTCGTCTCCCCACGTAAACACGAAATACCGCACGAGAACATTTATTTTACTCAATCCATCGGCCGCACGGCCTTCTGGGATTCTCATCGTCATCAGCAGCAGCAGCAGTGGTAGCATCGGCTCAACGCAAGCGATAAACCCCGGGGGGCCGTCTTTCGACACTCGGTGCCTCATCAGCCGCCTTTTCGGGCGGCATCATTTTGCCACCGCAGATCCCGTCGGCCTGCTCATTCGTAGTGCGAGTGGCGTGTCGGGCGCAGGGGGCAAATCGACCGTCACAGCGTTTGAGACGAGGCTCGGCTCCCGGGCTGCGCACCCCCCCCCACCCCACCCCCCAAACCGTCCACCAGGCAATTTGTATTCCGCTCGCACGCGGGGCCTGCAAGCGGCGGCGGAAATTGAGATTTATCTCTTTGACAGCGCCACGCGAAGGGGTCCGTGGATGCCGTCGAGTAGCGTGGCCGGAGCGAAATCGCCAGGCGGGCCCCCCCCCCCCCCCCCACTTTGGCAGCCTCCCCCCCCCCCCACACTTTGGCAGCCCCCCCCCCCACCTCACCCCAAACCCACGCCCAGCCACACACGATTCCAAAATCCAGGGTTCACGGTTCGATCCGCGAGTAGATTACGCGTACATTAGTATTTCTTCACGGTGAATGTCGCCTGCGAGGGTGACGCGAGGTCGTGACGCCAACCCACGCGCACAACGACAAAGATCCCCCCGTGTAGCCTTAGCAGACTGTCGGGGCAAGTGCTGTTAGCGGGTAGCACCTAATGAAGGCCGGCACTGTGGCACACGAGGGGGTGGGTGGTCAGCACCACGCCCCGGGCGCCTTTGTCTTCCCAATGGTGATGTTTATATATCACACCAGGTACTTATTTGAGGCTGAGTCGACCTAGGGGAGGACTGGTTCAGATAATTATCGCTGGTGTTGGCCGTGAGCGGTAAATCAACTCGGGTGGGCCGGTTCATAGCACAGCGCGTACACACCCACACACAACAACAACTGCCATTCGCCACTAAGTGGCGGTGACGTCACCATGACGCTTGTGCCAGGCCATGTGCACATTGAGGCCATGTGAAGTGTCGAACGCCCGCTGGCAGGAGGTCACGGGGCAGACCCAGCAGGTGCCACGGGTCGACTGACCGAGATGACTGGCTGATGCACCACCTGTGCCCCCTACTGTGCCAACTTGCTGTGCTTTAGCCACCCGCATGCCTGCGTGTGTGTGTGTAGCAGTTGCTATCAGGACAATCTCTCCGCTGGGGTAGGTGTACCGTGAAGTGACTGTTAGACGACACCGCTGCAGGCACACGGTGCCACGCACAGCAGCCGGGGACGCGAGGGGCAGTGGGTGAGAAGGCGTCCAACGTCACAAAGTTTAGAATGTGATGCCCCCTCCCCCACTCACTTCCCCAGCAAACTATTTTTGGGTTACTCACTCACAGTTCTACGCGTACGTTTGTATGTAGGAACGTTGAACCCATTATGCACCGTGCGTTGCCAACCGTGCTAATCGGGTTACTCGCTCACCACAGCCACCACATCGCAACGAACTCCTCCGTGTGCCGTTCACAGCACCGCCACGCAACATCGCGGCGTGAGTCACCGCCGCTGCTATCTCCTCCACCTCCCGTTCCCCCCCGGCAGATGATGCGCAGCTCGCCACCGCGGCCGTCTCCTCCTCCGCCATCGCCAAGCGAGGGGTGTTCTCCGGCCTGCGCGGACGCGACGGCGCCCCCCACGCCTCCCGGCTTCCCGTGGGGCCCCCCCGGGACTTCCACCCGCTGTCGTCCCTCATCGACGTAGACGTGCTGCCGGCGAGCCTGCGTCGCGTGCGGCTCTACCGCCACGGCTCAGCTCGCCCGCTCGGCTTCTACGTGGCCGACCGGAGCGCCGACGGCAGGGCCCGGCTAGGCGGCCGCGGCGGCGCCGGCGTCTTCATCTCGCGGCTGCTGCCCGGTGGTCTGGCCGCCTCGTCGGGCCTCCTCTCCGTCGGGGACCGCGTGCTGGAGGTGAACGGCGCGCCCGTCGCCGGCAAGGGCCTGGACGAGGTGACGGCGATGATGGTGGCCAACGGGCACCACCTCGTCATCACGGTGAGGCCCGCGGAGCTGGAACGGCGGGACGGCGGGGATGACGGAGGAGTCGGAGGAGGAGGGAACGACGATGAGTTCTGGACGCGCGATTCGGGAAGCTCGGAGAGCTCTGTGCAGTCGCTGGTGTCCGACGGCAGCGAAGGGATGAGGTTATCGCGACGGGGGTCGCAGCGCCATCATCATCACCAGCAGCAGCAGCAGAAGAAGAGGAACCACGTAAAGGAAGAGGTCTCTTTGACCTCGCGGAGCGGTGGCGATTCGGACAGCTTGGCGTTAGCGCCGCTCCTGTCCGACACGGAACTGTGGGACAGCGAGGCGGAGGAGGAGGATTTGGTGATCGACCAGATCGGCGTCGATCGCCATGCGGACTTCCCCGCCGCCGGCAAGCCGGGCCGACCGCTGGCCACGTACGACGGTGGTGTGCGGAACTCGCCGTGGGCCCACCGACGGTCGGGCACCGTGACGGAGGAGGGCGGAGTCATCACGCTCTACCTCTGAGGTCCACGTCACGCCTCCGTCGCAATGCGGCGTGAAGTCCGGCGGACGTCTGCGGGTCGCGACGGATCGCCACTCAGTTTCCCGAACCGTCGGGAACTGGACCTTGCGGGCAATGGGTCGGAGCCAACACTTGACGGGTAACTTGGGAGATCCCGATCCATGGATGGCGGAGGACAAGGTCACTCGAGACGGGCATTGGCGTGGCACCCAATGCCCCACGGGAAGAGAAGAACTAAGCGCAGGTGATGGTGTCGATGACCACAATGACGATGATGATCATGACGATGGGACTGTTGAAGTGGTTCCTAGAGGTCGGATGTTACCTGTGCAATGGCCGGAGAAACTGGCAGAAGGATGGAAGTGATGGCGTGGTGGCCTCAGTAGCATTGGCCGTCATGACCTATTGACCTTGTTTCTGGGAGAGGTGGCATTGGTGGAACACGCGTAGATGGTGCGGTGCTCATGTTCATGGATCACAAACGGATGACGGCGATGATGCTCGTGCAGACTATGGCTACGACGACAATAATGATGATGGCGATAATGAAGGTGATGCTACTGATGACGACGACGATGACGACGAAGACGATATCGGAGCGCGTCGGGCCCACAGTCAGGGTTTCGAACTCGCAACGTCCGCACTCGACGGCCGAGCGGTTCGACTGCGGTTGCCACCCAGCCACGTACAGAGTACGCGCAGCTCACTTGCCGTAACAGGGGTCTACCGGCGATCCCTACCCTCGCCCCACAGAGCGGTGGCACCGCAGTTAGCGCACCAAGCTGTAAACATGGTGACCCGAGTTGCAGCCTCGGCCTACAACGTAGGTGTGGTGAGGGATATAGGGGAATATCTTTTCGTACTATTTTTATTTAACCAGGTCGGGTCCACTGAGCTATGTAGATATTTTTTTTAGAAGCGACCTGGCCACGAATGACAGCTCAACGAAGTGGCTCATCACGTGGAAATGTATAGCAGCCAAACACTCAAAACGCACATTATTGATACTAAATGTGGAGGGGAAAACCGGGGGACTCTGAGAAAAATCCACGCGGCAATGGGGAAAGATGCAAACTCCAAATATACAGCAGGCAGTGTCAGGGTTAGGATTGAACCCACGACCTCCTGTATACCAGGCGAGCTAGTTAACATCTCCTAGCCACCGCGGCACCTAACTCCTCCCGCCGCGATACGCCGGAACCACTCCTCCCACCGCCACCCCCGCTTCTAACCGGCGTGGTGAAGTACGGTCAAACAACCCCCCGCGACCCGGCACGGGGGAGGGGGGGGGGGAGGTGGGAGGCCTTCATCCAGCAAACGGATTGACACAAAGGGCTGTATATGAATAATATTATTACTATAGCGGCAATTGTTGTTGTGCGTAATAGAGTAGTTTCGTGACGGCTAAAGTCGTGACGGTCGCGTGTACAGCTGTTGTATCAAGTGCTCTTCACCGATGTCTTATATGCAAAAAGCGCCGCTGTCCCCCGTCCGGAGTCCGTTCAACGTCGCGATGCAAGCGGGGAACGGTGGCGCCGATTTATCTCGCGCACCACCACCACCAACCACCACCCGCCCGCCCCCCCTGCAATGCCGTTGGTGATGTGGGGGGGGGGTATCACGATGCGCCGTACACTAGATCATATGATGTATCGTACGATACGTTGTACGATGTATCGTATGGTGCTTCGTACAATGTACCATACGGTGTATCGTATGGTACATTGTACGATGTACCATATGATACATTGTATGATGTTTGGTATATAACACAATGTATCGTGCGATGCGTAGTCGGGTATCGTGTGAGACATCACCTGGGCTCAATGTATTTTACAATATTATACTATACGAAGACTCATACGAAACTGTAGGATGCATTGTAGGAGAAATCGCCCAGAATCATACGAGACTTCGTCGATGCTGGTGACTGACCCAATACCATCAACAATGTATCGTCGGGTATCGTGCAATACAATACATCAGGCAATGTACCGTACGATACATCATCACAACTCAAACTGTGAATGTGTCTCTGTGTGAGTCGATGGGGTCTCTATGCGAGTGTGTACATCTCTACGCTAACCTCCGAATCTCTATGCGAGTGTGTGGGTCTCGATGCGAGTCTGTGGATCTCTGTGCCAGTCTTTTGGTCCGTGTGCGAGTCACCGTTCACCAGGCCGAGACCGCCGACTCCAGGATCCGCTTCGATCACCCAGGGGGTCAGCAAAACCCGGTTTTAAACCCAGGAAAAGATTCCGGCAGGATGGCGTTTGGTGGATCGGCGTTTCCGACACGGCCGTTTGTGAGCCTCCCAAACTATTCGGGCAATCGTTGAGCTCCCTCCGTTCCTTGCAATGCCATTAGCGGCAATTACGAGTGTAACGCAATAGGGCTGCTGCAGGGAAATTCGAACCGGGTCTCGCGATGCCTAAAACCGTCCAGTAATTTATTATTTGTGTCCAGTGAATTATTTATGCAAATGGCTGTTGGTGTGCGGGGGTGGGTTTGTTCCTCCATGCGATTATTTCTAGAGGTGATGTTTATAGAAGAAGAAAAAAAAATATGGCTTGGTATTGTGTGTCTGTCATTGCATAGAGACCCCATCGGAGACCCATCTCAGTCATTGCCTAGATAGTCCAGTCTGTCTGTCATTGCCTAGAGAGACCAATCTGTCATTGCCTAGAGAGACCAATCTGTCATTGCCTAGAGAGTCCAGTCTGTCTGTCTGTCATTGCCTCGAGACCCCATCGGTGACCAGTCAGTCTATCCGCCTGTTGTTTAGTATTATCTCTCATGTAACTTTTAATGCATTTTTACACCACAAATTCTACTGTGAATTTTCTACATCGAATGCACCGAGCAGCAACGTGATACCGGGCGGTGATGATCGTTGAAAACGAAACTCGCGTGCGTGCGTGCGCGTGTGTGTGTGTGTTTTATATGTGTAAAAACTATTAAAATCTATGAACAAAATGGCATCGCAAGAGTTGTGATGGAACACGGAATGCGTGGCAAATCGCGATCTGTAAGCCGACTGGGGATGCTTCTTGAATTTCCAGATGTAAGTATAGGTTTTACTGCAAGGAACCTCCTGGTTACACCAGCCCACAGGGGATTATTGTGTCGGTCCGTCCGTCGTGCAGGGAGGGGCTGGGTGGGGAGGGAGGGTGGGGATGGGCTGGGTGGGGTGGGGAGGGTGGGGCTGGGTGGGAAGGGGAGGGGCTGGGTGGGGACGGTGGGGAGGGGCTGGGTGGGGAGGGTGGGGCTGGGTGGGGAGGGGCTGGTCACCCCGTGGTGCCCTTATAAAACTCAGCGTTTCACCTACTCACGCCGGCTTGTGCCCGCCCTCACAGTCGGGCATATTTGCGGAATACACCACGCCGCCGTTGACCCTGGCCATTGACCGAGCAACCCGACGTTCCTACCAGCTCCCTCCGCAGGAATGTGTTACCCTTTCTGGCAATAAAACCAGTTGCGTTAAGATGTTAAAACACCAAAGAGAAACCCTTTTGTACGGATTAATGTTTTGCATTAACCACATATACATGAGAACATGCAAACAAAAATACATGCTCTGGTAGTATATGATGATGCGTTGTCTTTGAAACTGATTGGTCCACACCAGAGACGGCTTTCTTTAGAGCCTCGTCTCACTAACAGCGATAGACTCAGAGGACAACACCAGAAGTCGAACAGCACAAGGACAATGCCACTGTCAGGGCATTGAGAGCTTCGGGGTGTTTTAACATCTTAACACAACTGGTTTTATTTGCTGAAAGGGTCAAACCTATTCTGATATTTTGATATACTGGCAAGGGATGTCCCATGACATAAAGCAAGGGTGACGACGCTGAGGATTCTATTTCCAAAGAACCTTCTGGAATATCCACCGCCAGAAGACCACAGTCCACTCGGCAGCATCGTGGGACACCGCAGTTAGAACCAACAGGCGGGTCCGCGTGTAGGCGCACGCGCGTACACACGCAGTACACACACAGTATTCGCATGCAGTACACACAGTGCACACCAGTGACGTGCGGTGAGGTCAATGGCTGGGGAGGCACTGGCTCGTGTCAGAGCAAGATTCACACACGGAGGGGGGCGTGTCCTCACTGTGGGGGGCGTGTTAGACACGTCCCCCTCAGTGAGGCAGATGTGATAGCTGCCTCCCCTGGTGCTTTTTTATTAGCAGTTTCATGGCGAGACCAGCGAGCCTAAATATCTTTATACACATACGTGAAATAAGTTACCTGGAATATGGAAGGCGAGGACATGAAATGAAGGGGTCTACAAACATTACACTGGTGACATACTGAGATAGTAACAGGCACGCGCTTATTGCCCGCGCTCCATCCAGTTACTGAAGGGTTGCGCAATCAGAGGGGAGGCTGAGCTCGTCGCTGCCTCACCTCTCGTCTCTTCCTGTACTTGCAGCTGAGCTCCACAAATTCGGCGATTTTGACTATAAAAATTATTGGAATCGTACAGAAATTACATTTATAACACAGATCGGTGGAAAATTTTTAATATTTATTTTATTTGATTATTCTTTTTTTTTACTTTTCGTAACAGCTATTTTCATTGGAGTATAACAGGTGAGGCTCTGCCTCCCCTGCCTCCCCTGACCGCACGTCCCTGGTGCATACACAGTACACACAGTTCACACATACACAGTGCACACACAGTGTTGTCTCTGTGTGTGTATCTGTGTGTGTGTAGTCTGTTAAGGCTATACGGGGGATCTTTGTCTTTGTAGTGGTTAGCGCTACGCTGTGCTACTAACCCGGCCACCCGAATTCAATTCCCGCTCACGGCCAGCAACCCCAGAGACTATTATCTGAACCGGTCCTGGGCCTCCCCTAGGTCGACTCAGCCTCAAATGAGTACCTGGTGCGGTGTGTCGTAAACATCGCCACTGGGGAGACAAAGGCGGCCGGGCGTGGTGCTGGCCACCCACCCCCTCGTGTGCCCTGCCGAGCTTCATAGGTGTGTCGTGAACAGCACTTGCCCCAACAGTCTGTTAAGGCTACACGGGGGATCTTTGTATCTCTGTATAAGTTGCTGCTTCAGCACACCGGCGTGTTGGAGAGTGAACCCACAACATTCGCAATTCGACGTTTCGCTGGTGATTACAACCAGCTTCATCAGGCGATAGCCGCAATTGTGAAGTCTTCCTGTCTCGATCTTCGGTAGAGGAGTCATGGTGATATCATCACTGTGAGACACAATTTGTCACATTTTGTTACCCAATTGGCTGTGTCGGGTGGTGGAGGGTTTAACGACACATTTGTATTTATGCGAGCTAACCCAAAAAAAACCATTGTGGATCATCGCAAAGCCTATTGGCTTTGACATTGAACCCCTCCTCCCTCCACATCGAAGACACGGGTTGTGGAACCCAATGGCAGAGCCAGGATTTTCAGGTAGGGGGGGGCAACTCTTTCAGCAATGAAAAATGATAGAGGAGTTGTTAGTAAGTAAGGACTTGTCCCTTGCTTTTTATTCGACGCGTGAGCGGCGATGGCGCAGCCATCGATCGAGGGTCGAATTCGAACCGCGTTGTGTGATCGGCATCGCGCTCGCTGAAGGTGAATGCCTTCAGGGAAGTCGTGTCCTGTATACGCAATTGCGCACAATTCTGAGTCACTTATAACTGCTTTGCCGTTACTTATGGACTCAGAATATTGTTTTATCATCTCATAGAGTCCCTGGCATGTAATAATATGCTACACAGTGGCAGTGGGGATCGCAAAATGCCGATTTATTACTAATAAACCCCAATGATCCGATCGAAATGAGGGATTTCGATCGGATCATTTGGGTGGCACGTGCCACCCCCCCCCCCCCCCCCCCCCCCACTGGCTCTACCAGTGGTGGAACCCCATGAACCAGCATCGTCAGAACATCATCAATGTGACGTTGCGTGCGTCTCCTTCATAAGTAGACAAAGACGCAGCCACGTCTTGGCCGCATAATAAACCCAGAGAGACAAATAGAGATAGACGCAGAGATACACAGCGACTCATGGAGCTACACAGCGACTCATGGAGCTGCACAGAGACCCATAGAGATACATTGCAGAAAAGCCAGAGTATCGGAGTGCGATTTTGGCCATGCAATCCCAAACTATGGACCACACAGCAGGCCACTGTGGTCTGTTTAACACGTAGCAGATGACCTATATCATCAATAATAGAGTTTTTGGGGGGTTAAATCGCGTTAAACCCGACACCACCCGACACAGTAAACTAGTAAGGGTTGTAACGTAAACAAAACGTGGCCAATTCGTCACTAGTACAGCCACATCGGTTGTGTGTTGGAGAGCCAAGCCACAACATTTACAATCTGATTACGACGTTTTACGCCAGTAATTACAACCAGCTTCATCAGGCGACAGCCAGATTTGTAGAGAAGTCCACCTGTTTCGTTCCTTATATAGAGGCACCGATGTGGTGACCACGCTTCTGCGCTCTTGCGCAAAGTGGGGGGCGGGGATTAATGAGTCAACGTACATTATGCATGCGCGTTATGCGAGCCCACTGTGTGCATGCGCTCATTCAACGGAGGAGGATGGGGGACAGCAAAACTCCACGAACTCTCTCCGCTGAAGCCCTCTCGTCTCTCGTCGTGGACGAGCGGACCTCGGGCATTGGCATCTGTCATCCATCGAACGCAAGCGTAGAGAGCGAGGCTCTGGAGACCCTTCTGCCGGCAGCGGAATGACCAGGACATTTGCGGGGCTGCGCTTGTACCTGCCAAGTACGCAGCACGTGACCGGACAGCGAGAATCGAGGTGGGAGCGCAGAGACGTCGAGCTCCTGATGCTCGGATAAACCGGCATGTGCAGAAGAACGTAAACACATTTCAACATATTTCTTGTAAGAGTCAGCGGACGAGATTTTTTCAATACTTAGCGAGGCTGTGAATGAATGGCGCCACGGTGACGGGATGTAAACAACCTCGCCTGGTATGCAGGAGGTTGTGGGTTCGATCCCGACCCTGACGCCTGCTGCTGTATATTTTGAGTTTGTCCCTCTCTCTCATCACCATCAGGGTGGCTAGGAGATGTTAACTACCTCGCCTGGTATACAGGAGGTTGTGGGTTCGATCCCGACCCTGACGCCTGCTCTATATTTGGAGTTTGCATCTCTCTCATCACCATCAGGGTGGCTAGGAGATGTTAACTACCTCGCCTGGTATACAGGAGGTTGTGGGTTCGATCCCGACCCTGACGCCTGCTCTATATTTGGAGTTTGCATCTCTCTCATCACCATCAGGGTGGCTAGGAGATGTTAACTACCTCGCCTGATATACAGGAGGTTGTGGGTTCGGTCCCGACCCTGACGCCTGTTGTATATTTGGGGTTTGCGTCTCTCTCTCTCTTTCTCTCCCCGTGGTCGCGTGGATCTGTCTCGGGATCCACCGTTAGAATCAAGATGACGGGTTGAGAGTGCTGGACTGCTCTACACGTCCACGTGATATTGCCACTTCGTCGGTGAGCTATCAATTTGTGGCCAGGTCGCTTTGGGAAAAGAGCGCTGGAGTAACTCGATTGGTCTCATCTGGTAGAAACAATTTTTTTTATTGTTTAGAATGCTCGTCTGTGTGCGTGGCATTTGAATGAGCGTTCGAAGCCGGGGGGTTTCCCACACTCCGATTCTCGCGGTAGAACCACCACCACAATCCGTCGTTCTGCGTTCACCAAATTCAGTCCTCCCCATTCAAAAACGAAGTAACTCGGTAAAGTCACGTAGAAGGGAAGTAATAAAATAAAAAAATAAAACATAATAAAATAATTCTCAGACGATGAATTCAGACGCTGTCTCCCCGACAGACCTGGTCTTCACCCGAGGACGGCTGCTTGCGTTGTGGCCGAAACATCGTGATAATTATTTTATTATGTTTTATTTTATTATTTTATTATTTCCCTTCTACGTGACTTTACCGAAAGAACCAAGAAGATGAATCCCTGC